GTAACGATCAAGGTAAAGAATTCAAAAGGACTCAATGAACGAAGTCCAATAAACTCTAGTTTCTCGTCAAGGTTTATTTTTCCCACAGGGTTTTTGTTACTTGACAAAGTTCCTACACGACAACTAGTTTGGTGTGCATCATGCTATCTACAACTCAGCACAAGGGGGAGTGTTGAAGGAAATTACTTTAATGTGCATTCGTTATAGATAGAAAGTGTACCTAGGGATTATATGTATTGAGCTAATTGGCCCATTGGCCCACTCCTTGTAAAACCCTAATCACTCCTATTTAAAGGGGGCTTACTAATGGAATGAACACCACTCTCACTTCCCTACAACAATTTTAACACCATTATCATGTATCATTTTTTTCAAAAATGTAAATATATGATATTAATTCCATAATTTAAAGTATATAGAGTGGGGGGGGTAGTATTGTTTATTTTACAATGGAAGTTTAGAATGTTAATTGTATCTTCATGAATGCTAAAATATTTAAAATTATGAAATTAACATAAAAATTAACTTTTTTGAAAAATATAACATATGACCATGGTGCTAAAATAACTTTTATATAAAGTTTGAGGTATTTAAATTACATATGCAAGTTTGGGGTGCTTACCTCACACCCCTTCAAAGTTTGGGGTATTTTAATTATTTTCCCCTAGTTTCTATCATTACTCTACTTTCCATAAATTTAAATCCACCTTGTCCGGTCAACTACCAATATTTCATTTCCTTATACCTAAGTAAATGAGGACCAGGGAGTATTACTTATGCTATTACAAACAGGATGCTTTACTATTTGAAGTTTTATTATTATATATGTAGACTCATCTTTGTTATAGTCAGTGCGGAAATTAATAGAAATCGAGCAAAGTGCTTATACAGAATTAGGGGAGGACTAACCTTGTAACTGTTCCATCCCAAATTTACAAAATGTTTTAATTTTTATGCAAAAAAAATTGTATACTTTTTCTCAAAAATATTCTTTGTACCGACCAAGTACGATCATTGGCCATGTGCCCTGGTTCCGCCCTTGTGCGTGTATGACACCTTATGGTATTCACGTGCATTGATTTTATATCAAATGAAACAATTCAAACAAAATATATGTGTTTGTTTCAACAACAATTCTTGATGAAGTAAACCAAACAAAACACGTCTTGTCTATGACAAGCAAAAAAAGCATTCACAAACTTGTGTAAAAATGTGTACAATAATAAAGTGTGTACAAACTGATACACTTTTCTTGTTTGAACTTTGAATGTAGTGTCATTTGGATTTCGGAATGGTGATCACATTCGTATGACTTGGTAACTGCATAACTGCATTACAAAACTGATGTATAGTTATTAGTGCATTGATTTTAATGAATCGTCATAATCAAACAATTGATTTAAGAAATAATTACAAATTCATAATTAAAATAAATATTGTTTTAGAAAATGTGATTAGTGACTAAAACAGTAATGAAATTATAATAGCTCATGTTCAATTTGTAAAGTTAACTTACCATGACACTAGACTATAGTAACTATTAATCATATTTGTGTAAATGAATTTTGATTTAGTAGTATTTTGAAAAAAAACTTGATTTAATTGCATGCATGATTTCATTTTTAATTGACTATGGTCACATCATCAGCACACAATTTTGTACGGAGTATTAGAACTTTAAGTTTTTATCGTTTTTTATCTCATTTAATACTAAAACTTTCATTCCATTTTATGTGTCTAATTTTGATATGGCACAATTATTAATAACGTGATTGAAAATGTAAAACTTGTGGTTGAGATTTGAATATAATAAAATGAAAAAGTTGTAAACCACGTATTTTTTTCAAAAAAAAATTACACACTTATTTGGGGATACTCTAAAAAGGAAAATAAGACGGAACTTAACTACTTAAGGTATGTATTTATCTTATTTTAGGAAGGAAGGAATATTTTTTCAATGTGCTTCAGTCTTGAGGTATTTATTAATCATATTTAATATTACGATTACGAAAAATATATCAATACTTACTATTCGGTGTTTACATAACATGCATGCTAATTACTATGGTCGGGCATAACGGTTTTCGGTTCGATTTTTACCTGGTTCGGTTCGAAACGGATTGGAAGAGTTGATATCAAACAAAAACAATACTATATTTTCGATTTGGTTCGATTCAATTTAGTTCGGTTTGGCATGGTTTGAATTTTTTATTTTTTAATAACATATGAAAGTTTTTTTGAATTTCTTTAGTTCGGATCAATTTTGTTCGATTTTTTCGGTTTTGGTTCGATTTAGTTTGATACTTTGATATAGTGATAGAGTATATTATATAGGACCCCTAGTCTGCAGATTATTGGGGTTGAACAACAGTCCGGATACACCGTTGGATAATAATGACATTATTATTATTATTATTATTATTATTATTATTATTATTATTATTATTATTATTATTATTATTATTATTATTATTATTATTATTATTATTATTATTATTATTATTATTATTATTATTATTATTATTATTATTATTATTATTATTATTATTATTATTATATTACTAGTATCTTTACCCGTGTCATCCATGGGATAAAATGATTTCGTTGTTTGGTTTTAGTAACGGAAAATCACTTATCTAGTCGATTATAACATTTGTTTAAATGGCATATTCTAATTTATTAAGTATGCCTTATTTTTGAACTAATCCTAAACATGTTTCCAGTATATATTTTCCAATGAAAACAACATATTTTTATAACTCTCACTTGCATCCAATTGAAATCAATCTATTTTTACCTAAACAAAAAGAAAATGCTCAATGCCTATTTTTATCCATTAAATTTCATTTGTGGCTTACTGTTTTTTTTTCAAAACTAACTACACATTTTGTTAATTTATTTGCTAAAAATGGATGTAGTCACTTTTTTTTAGATATGACCCTTCTAGGTTTTAGAAATTGTCAAATTAGTCTTTTGATATTTTTCTTTAAAAAAATAGTTCAGAATATATAATTTTGTGACATTCCGATTTTAATGAAGGTGATAACGATGAAAATAGGCTGCATATTCTCATTGATAGCGATCAATTTATTTTTCATTAGATTGATTTATTGAAGATATATATGATCTTATTAAGTAAAATAAATATTATTGGACGAAAAAAGTTGTATGATTTAGATTTTTAATAGACAATTTTTATCTAGATGGTGTGGTGATTAATACCTATAAAAAGATTCTCATCACATCAAAAGGTAGCTATAATCAAAACAGAAACATGTCAAATTAATTACACAATGAAAAATAAAAAGACAAACGCCATGTATTCATAAACGAAAAAAGATCTCAATTTTCACGACCAAATATTATTATATTAAAGTTAAGTGCATGAGCAAAAGAATTAGTGTGTACCTTTTATATACAGTCTAGTTTGTTTATCTAACTCTTAAACACCACTTTTAGTGTCACGATATCATATGTAATTAATAAAACTTTTCGGGAGCTGAAACTCTCGACCAAAATATATTAAGATTATATTAATATATATGGGGAGGATATAGTTTAAATACCACGAACTTTTTAGGGGTGTGAGGTATGTAGCATAAGAACCCCAAACTATATGTAAAAGTTATTTTAGCATCATAATCATATGGTTTTTCTTTTTCTTGTTTTGAATGAAATCATATGTTTTTTCTTTCACAAATGTAATTTTATAGTGTTAAGTAAATTATATAAATATTTTACTCCCTCCGTCACGTTCAGATTGTCCCATTTGTTCTTTTTGGAAAATCCACTAAGTTTGTTCATACCAAATTTCGTAAAGTTTGTGTGGCTCTAAATCATTTTATTTTATTCTTACTTTATCAATTCATTATCAACCACATAAACTCATTTTTCTTAATAATCGTGGCATCCCCTCATGTCCCAATGTTAGTAGGATGAATGTAGTAATAATTTTTGAGTGTGCAATTAACATTATAAACATATTTGTTAATGTTTTTTATTTAAAATATTGAAGCTTGGATAATAATTTCATCCAAATAAATGCCTAAAGTATTTTAAATTTTATATTTTAACACTATAAATTTAATTTTGTGAAACAAAAAACATATTATTATGCTGCTAAGATAAATTATATAAAATTTGGGGTATTTTTATTACATGTGCAAATTTGGGTATTAATCTCACACCTCTTAAAAGTTTGGGGTATTTAAAATATTTTTTCCATATTTACAGTAAAGTAAAAATAACTTTTACTTTCATATATGAGATCGAAAAATTGATTCCAATAAAAAATATCATTAATTAGAAAGGTGAACATAAATTTGAGATAGCATTAAGTTAAAAATGTATATTTAGCAAATTTTAACACATGCAGTCTTGCTATTTTAATTTTTCCCATTTTCATTTTATAATGTTTCTCTCTTCTTGCCATTTTATGAATGATTTGGAAGTTATTAGAACTTATTTAAACAATTTTAATTTATGGAAATTATTTGTGGGGCTTAAAATATTTTTATTCTCTTGTATTCCCCTTTCATTTCAGTTTGGTGCTGGTAGTTATTTTATTGAATTAAATAATATATAAAGGGTACTTGTAGAATTCATCATGTCCCCACCAAAATACAATCTCATGTTTATTTTAATGTGTTGTAACTTTTCTATTTGTACTCCAATTGTTACAAAAAAAAATATATCAAAATTCATAACTTTTTATTATCTTTCATGACACCAATATTGAGTATATATAAAAATAAAACATAAATTAACATTTCAAAATATATATATTTGAAGTGTTGTAACATTTTATTTGTACTCCGACTATCACAAAAATATCAAATTCATAAATTTTAAAAATTGGTATTTACGTAGGATTCCAAGTTTCAAACATATTGCCTAGTTTTATATCAACGTGAGTTCTAATCTAAGTTAAATACTACTGTAACGGAAGTATAAATAATTAATATACTAAATTGAAAAGAAAATCTATAATATTATAATGAGTTCTAATGAGTGTTTGCTTAGAAGATTCTCGATCGGATCTTTCTCTCTCTAGGGTGGGTTTCCACCGCTGGGGTTTTTTCTCCGTTATCGTTTGTAACGAGGAGCGGCCGTCGTAGGCGAGCTTAGGCATACAGGGTTTCTTCTTTCGCCATCAATTGTGCGACTTTTTTCCTTCTTTTGCTTGGCGAGATTAAGCGGAGGGAAGATGATGTTTGGTCTCTTGCGGTCGAAGGTTTTGCAGGGACAGAAGATGGATGCTTGGTCTCCAATGGGCAAAGGTCATGGACGAAGTGTGGGGCTAGAGGCTGGAACAGATCTGGATTCGAGGTCATCTGTATTAGGTGGCGACATAGGAAGCTTGATAAAGAACATGATAAATAAGAGGCAAGGTGAGGAAGAAGCTACAGTACTGCTGGATCGTCCCCCTCTTGATCCGCCGCTATGGAGTGCAGAAGAGACGAGGGTTTGGAAGCATCTTTTTAATTTTACATTATGCTTGCGATTTATTTTTCAAGATCAGACTGTTTATTTTTCTGTTGGTTACTTTTAATATTGTAAGACTTTTGCATTAGGATTGGCTGATAGGAAGTGTGCTTTAAACGTCTTTGGCTCATGTAAGCCCATTATAGGATCAACGAGCTACATTGCTTCTCTGAATGTGATTGACTCTAAATCTGGTTCGAGGGCTAACGGTTGTCTGTGGTCCTTATATCGTTTTAACCTCATTCTGAATGCTAATGATGTGAAATCAATGTAAGCCCCCCCCCCCCCCCCCCCCCCAAAAAAAAAAAATGAATGTTTGCTTAGAAGATGACACATGCCAAAACTTTCCATAATTGTATCTTTGAAATGTATTATTTATAGATAGATTATTATTATTATTACTCCCTTCATCCCATTTTGGTTGTCTTACTTTCCTTTTTGGGTTGTCCCAAAATGAATGTCATGTTTCCTCTTTTGGCGAGAAACATATGTTCATATCATTTCACTTTACTGTACTGAAATGTCAACCACAACTTTTACTTTTCAATCACTTTATTAATAACCATACTAAACTAAAAGAAGACATCCATTACGGGACAGGGGTATTATTATTCAGATATTCTAAATTAGCTTTTTTATATTATTATAAGTCTTTTTATGTAATCGAGTCTGTCAGACCCATATTAGATACTCAGACCCGAATTTTCCTGTATATACTCTCCCTTATAAACCCTAAGACCTAATCAATTCATTAATATTACATTCACACTACGCATTCATCTTCCCTCTTTTGGCTTAATCTCTTCTAAATTATATAGTTTGATTACTCTATTATCCATCATACAATTTGGAAGAATATTATCAAGCTCAAATCAAATTACATATAATCTGGTTTCAGTTCGGTTTAGATAAGTTTGTTACGATTCCGATCGATTAAACCAAACCGGTATGTCACCCCTACTAAGGACTGAAATTCGTCCCAGACCAGAGCAGATCAGATCAGACTTGGATAGTTATAAAAAACACAAAGCAACCAAATCGAATCAAATCAGACCGAACCAGATCAGACCAGCAAATTATAGTCTATGTAAACACATCCTAATAAGTACCCTAGGGCCTAGAATACCTAGGGTGACAAAATGATTTGAAATGCTCTTGAACAATGTACAATAGGTCATAGTGTCATACTCCGTATAATTTGCATCCGAAGCCGGGTCTTGCCCAATTTGGTATAGCAGACCGACCCGAAGAGTGCAGAAATTTTGCTAACAGACATACGTCGAGCTGTAAGAGAAAGTGGATTTTATCCCCATGGCAATCTCACAGCCTCTTTCTTCATCTATGGAAGCTGTTTCTAGCGCCAGTTTCTTTCCAAGATTCACAGAAAGGCCTTGTACTTTTCAGTATATCAAAACTCCTACTAACTGGCTTGGCAGTAAGATTCTGAAATCCAGTTTAACTCCAGCACGCAGCATCTCGCCTACACTCCGCCTCTCTCGAATTCCGGCACTTCCTTCTGAAGAACTGAGTGGTGGAGACGGAAACACTGAAGAGCAAATTCTTCGTCTGAAAAGCGAAATTGGATTTGGATTAGCTCCTGAAGGAGCTGTTCATTTGTCTCGGGTACTGATGATATGCATCCGTTTTTTACAGTTTACTGCAATCATCTGTATTATCTCTGCTAGTATGCTAAACGGCTATTATTGTGTTGACGGATCTCTCATACTCCGAAGGGTAAATTCGACGGGGAACAGCCAAACGAAATTAAAGAAGAGAGGATAGCAGAAGTGGTGACGCACGCAGGGGGCGGCACAAGAGCCGGGCTGTTTAGAACACCCATATCAGGAGGAGTGCAAAGCGCAACCTCTGCTCATGATTTACCGAAACCCGCATTAGCTGTTCGGAATTTACTGGAACAGGTAAATAAATAAATTCTAGGAGATTTGATCTGACAATCTTTTATGTTAGGAGTTAAAGCTCTTTGACATACTATCATTTTCTCTGCTGCAATGTTTATAGGCTAGGTTTGCTCATTTGTGCACAGTCATGTCCCAGATGCATCATAGGCGAGAGGGTTATCCATTTGGTTCACTTGTAGATTTTGCACCAGATGGCATGGGGCGTAAGTTGTTATGGCACTGTAAAAGACAGCCAATACTCCAAATATGGCTTTGTTCATCCAACTTAGCCCTGCATTAAATCATTTTAGTTGGAGAATCTACAGGGGAAGAGTAGACATGTAGCTGCATTAGCTCCATTAGAATTTACTGCAGTGCTTTGATCTGGCTCTTTGACTCTTAGATTTGTTTTCCATATGCAGATCCATTATTTTCATTTTCGCCATTAGCTATTCACACTAGGAATTTGTTAGCTGATCCAAGATGCTCGATGGTTGTGCAGGTTAGCGGTTCATCGTTATACAAACACTTAGAAGTTAGAGACAATTTGGAAAGGCATGATGTGTGCCTGAACCTGCTGAAGTTGTGGCTGAAATGGATTAATCTACTTAATGATCTAAAATATTTTTTAATTACATATAAATCAATCAATCAATCATCATTTACCCCCAGTGCCGCAAAGGCCCCCCACCTATGGTGGGGTAAGGGGGGACGGATGTACGCAGTCTTACCCCTGTACTAAAGCACAGAGAGACTGTTTCCGGATGACCCATAATGAAAATCGCGTCCAAAATTGCATCGACTGACTGCTGCTTCATAACAAAGAAGAGCAGACAGTTTGGTAAGCCATTTTGCTTTATTCCATCATATTCTCAAGCCAAAAAATAATGAATCTTTAGCTCCATTGCAAATGATGGAAAATTCAATTACATATAAATGATTAAAAGAAAATACGTAGTAATAACTACATAAGAGGGGTTCATGTGCCATTTTCATTCATCTAGGCCATTTCAACCAAAAAAGGAACTTATGCACTTCTTCATTTTATTACAAGCTGATTCTGCCATCACAGTAAAATGAACAAGTGTTGATGAAAAAGCTGGCTGATCATCAATTGCTCTTTAGCTGCATATTCTAGATTTCTAATATTGTCGAGTTACTCATCATTTATATTTCTAGATTCCCGGATGGAGTGGTTTGTCAAATGCAAGGGTAACAATACTTGGTGATGTGTATCCTCTCACAGAAGATCAACAGGTAGTTACATGTCTGATTGTATATGTGTACCTGTTATGGCTACAGTATCTTCGAATTCACACACGCGCACATATAAAACCATATAACTCTACCGTTACTCTGTTTCTAGGGGTGGGCTCATAAACAGTACATAGCAAAGCATCAGCAAGGTCCTTCACAACAGTGGGGAAACTTTTATTACTTCAGGATGCAAAATATCAGGTTCTTTCCATTTTCCTTTGAGATTATTTTCTCACACTTGCACAAAACAGAAAGAGTTAAGGTGTTAAACATTTCTTGTATTTGCAATCTACATCAGCATAAGTTGCTCATATGTTATAAACTCCACTTCTCTTTAACTCTATATTACTGTTATTGCATGACCTTCTCCGCACATTTTAATATGTATGCTTGACACTAGAAAACTGGAAATGCCCTTGGGAAATCATTATTGTATCTAATAAATGAGTTTTGTGTATAACTCCATTACAGTGACATATACTTCATTGGAGGGTTTGGAACAGTTGCTTGGGTTGATGTCAAGGAATATGAAAACCTTAAGCCAGACAAAATTGCTGTTAATGGGGGTGAACATAACTTGAAGGTAGGGAGATTGTGGTATGAGAAAACTGCATTTCACAATTCACGGTGAACAATTTACCAAGTCTCTCTGTAGTATTAGGATTCAAAATTCTGTTGGTATATGCAAATTGAGTCTGCAATAATTTTTTATTTCATTTTTTTAAATACGGAGTATAACTCTACTTCATGGAATAACTTAAGCAACTTTTCATTGCTTCAGAAACGTTCACGTAGTTTTGTTATTAGGGTCGAAACACAATTTGCTTAGTAAGTCAGTCAATTGGCACATCACAAAACAAACTTTTTAACTTTAAATGTAAGGGTGTTATGTGTTGCAGGAACTGAATGTCCTCTTCTCAAAACCCCTAAAGGATCTTCTGTCACGTGAAACAGAGGTGGATGATGTTGCTCTGATATCGATAGACAGTAAGGGCACTGATATTCGTGTCCGGCAAGGCGCACAGGTACTTCACACAAAAATGGTCTTTGCATCTTATCTCATTTTTATTCCATTATTTGACTTCACGTCCCATTTTTATTTTCTGTTCACATGCACCTCATTGCCTTAATATTTGTCTTTTCTCCCCATGGTTTGCCTTAATATTTGACTTTGCACCCCACCCTTGAAAAGAAACTATAGCATGGGATGCAAAGTTAAATTTTGTTGTAAAACATGGGATGCAAATACAATGTGTTTCCTCTGCTTGTTTGTATTGATTTCACCCTCCAACTTCACTGCAGTTCAACATTCAGAGGATGTCGTTTGAAGAAGGGCATTTGGTTGAAACACTAGAAGAAGCCAAAGCAGCACTTAGGAAAATAATAAACAAAGGCAAAGTTCACAATTTGCATAAATGAAGTTTCCGTAGGGAGGTGGCGGTTATATATGAACTGTGAAGGCATGAAGCTAGGTTTAGAAAGATCATGTAACATTATTGTATCTGGGAATTCGCCAATGAGCGTGAAAGCTGAAATGTTAGGAAATATTTGCCCAAAGGGCAAACTGAATGCAATTGGAGTTAGTCTTGGACCGGGTTTGGGCCGCCCGACCCGTGAACCGGCCCGGCCCGCTACTGTGCGGGCACGGACCGGCCCGGTCCTTCAGTCCCAAAACCGGGGTTTGACCCGAACCGATAGGAATAGCGGGAGCGGTCCCCGGTTCACCCCATTCTTTGGAACCGTGCCTGGGCCCTGTTCGGGCCTGCTATTTTTTTCCCCATTGCTTTGGGCTTTTTCCTGAGTTGGGTTGGGTGTTTGGGGGGGGGGGCTAATAAGAAAAGAAAAAAAACATGGATCTAGCCCGACCCGGACCCAACGGTAACCCGGGCCAGTCCCGGGCCTTCAACCAAAAATCAAAAGCCCGGTCGGGCCTAGGCCTGACCCGGATCCAACCCGGAGCTGAGTCCATGACTAATTGGAGTCTCATGTGTGCGGGTGCCGGGCGGCCACTTGTTCCCTTGTTATTTTCCCTTCACATAAACTCCGTACTTATTGTCAGGAACCCGGAAAAGACAGAGAAAGAAAATGAGTGAAGTTGTAGAGCCGATTATTAGCACGTTTAACATGTTTTACAAAACATGACCTCCCAAATTGGGGCCTCAAATTTTTTAAAAAATAGTATTACATGACTAATAATATATATTAATACTAATAAGTGAAATAAAGTTTTTGTCGCCTTGTCGGTCCTTTTACTCCTGCTTACTCAAATTGATTGAGTGATGAGTTTGTTGCTTTAAATCAAGTATCAAGTGATTTTTAGAATTTTTATTAAATTTTCTGTTGAGTATTCAATTGATTTCAGTAGTAGTATTTAGATTGAGATTTTCTTTTTATATTTATACGAGGCTTTGATTTTACGTTTGGAACGGAATCTTCAAATTCATTAGACGTTTCTGCAAAGGTGTTTGGGGCCTGGGGATGGGAGGGGAAGGGGTTAAAGATATGTATGGCTGTTTGCTAAGGAAGAAATCGGGATAAGGGTCAGTTTGGTCCTCGAAGTTGCAAAAAAGGGGTCAAATAAGTCCTTATATAGAAAATTCTGTCCGGACGTGCCATTTGAGGTGGCTCCCGGTGGAATTTTTTGATGAAATTTTTTGAGCATCTTATTCATTAAGTCTAGTTTACTCATACCAAATTTCAGATAAAAATTCAATCGGGAAGACATTCAAATGAATTCTTGAAGATAACTGTGCCGTTAAAAGCGCTGTTATCTTCAAGAATTCATTTGAATGTCTTCCCGATTGAATTTTTAGCTGAAATTTGGTATGAGTAAACTAGACTTAATAAATAAGATGTTCAAAAAAATTTATCACAAAATTCCACCGGGAGACACCTCAAATGGCACGTCCGGACATAATCTTCTATATAAGGACTTATTTGACGCCTTTTTTGCAACTTCGAGGACTAAACTGACCCTTTACTCGGAAGAAATCACTAGATTTGCCAAGTTTTCCGTAAAGCATGATGTGCCCATATGAGAATGAACTTAAATCTGCACAAAAGGGCTTGGGCATATACATTTACCCTCTCCGGCCCTGGCCTAGCTCGTTACATTTGGTATACATATATACACATACACACTAATTTATTTATTTACATGTGTATAGTTACATTTACTAATTTATCATTATATGTGTGTATTCATGGTACGATGTTTAGATTTAAGTTTTTACTTTTTAGCAACTAGCCCAATCAATATCTATTTTATACTACGTAGTTAAAAATAATACTTGATGTTTGAATTTTAAGTTCCAGTTATAGACTTTTTTCATGTTTATTTTTGTGTAAATATTTTTTGTGTGGGTGATGAGAGGTCTATAAACATTATAAACATATTAATAATTTGTAAAATATTTAAATATTATTTTTAAAGTGTTATAAAGGGTTTATAAAATTTTGAGAAATTAAATTTATGAGTTTAATAAATATATTAAATGAAGTGAGTGTTAAAGTTTATCATCATCAATTTAAAAAAGTTAAAGATGATTAACCAATAACAAAAAATTGTTTGTACAGACTTTTTTGCACACTCTGAGGTGTGTACGAAAGAATGTGTACAAGAATTATGACTGAATTAATAGGGGAGTAAAAGATACGGAGTAGGTAGGTTAGTGTATGGTCTTGAACTCTTGATTTGCAATTAACAATTTGCTTTTACCTGCTCACATACCCCACAAGTATGCGCGTCTCAGATACAAACATACATAAACGTGGATAAATAATCGTTTAATTACTTAATTATACATTATACACTGATGCTAGAAATATTTAGCACTTGAAAAAATTATACTAAGTATATGTAAAATTAACTCATTGAATGCTCTGAAATAATATGCAACTATAGGGTCCTGTTCAGTGCCGGTTTTGATCCCAGATGGGCTGGTCCTTTGAGAAAAATTGGAGCCCGGGAATTTATATCTTTAATGGAAGGGTAAAAATTATGAATCTATATATACCATTGTTTATAAACTTTCAATTTCTCAGTACAAGACCAAAATCAAGTGGTCAGCCTAGAAAGAATCATGAATGTAATTGCTATTAAGAATAAACCGGCCAAATCAAACTGTATACTTTGCATTGTTTAAACACCAAATATTTAAATGATTGTTGTCTGGTTGAGTGCATGGATGCTTCTCTTCAGTTCTTCTGCTGCTCAAGAACACGCCATATAATAGTGTATTAACTAATCTGTTCCCCCAAATAATGCTTTGGCTTTGGCTCCTTCGCTACATTATAATTGCTGGGGAAAACGCCCTTTGGATAATCTCGCCTTGCCAGTACCTTTCCATTATTAAATGATGAACAAATTGGCGCCTCCAAATCTTCTCCAACTTCCTCTTCTTCTTGTCCAGTACAATATGGTTCATCATCATCAGACTCTTCCACCAGTCCTAGAGCAGAATCTTCATGACCATCACAATATTGTTCAGAGTCTCTGAACTCATCTTCTTTGTCAAGACCGGGATTTTCAGGAAAAACGCCCGTTGGATAATCGCGCCTTGCCCGTACCCTTCCATTATTAAAAGATGAACAAATTGGCGCGTCCAAATCTTCTTCAACTTCTTCTTCTTGTCCAGTACAGTATAGTTCATCATCATCAACACACTCTTCCCATAGTCCTTTTTCTATTAAGGCAGAATATTCATAAGCTCCCTGTTCAGCAATAGAACACTCAACATCATCATCATCATCAAGTTCAAGCCAAGATCCTTTTTCTATTACAGGAAAATATGATCCCACTTCAGCAATAAAACAGTCATCATCATCATCAAAATCATCTCCATGTCCTTTTTCATGATTATCATAAGATCTCTCTGGAGCTCTAGAACTGACATCATCATAGTTTTTTCCCCAGAGTTCCTCTTCTACAGCAGAATGTTCATGACCATCAGAATATGGTTCAGAGTCACTGAACTCATCTTCTTTGACAAGACGACCGGGATTTCGAGGAAAAACGCCCTTTGGATAATCGCGCCTTGCCCGGGCCTTTCCATTATTAAAAGATGAACAAATCGAATCCTCCAAATCTTCTCCAAGTTCTTCCTCTTGTCCAGTACAATATTGTTCATCATCATCAGACTCTTCCCAAAGTCCTACAGCAGAATCTTCATGACCATCAGAATATTGTTCAAAGTCCCTGAGCTCCTCTTCTTTTTTGACAATCCTGGGATTTGCAGGAAAAACGCCCTTTGGATAATCACGCCTTGCCCGTACCCTTCTATTATTAATAGATTTACACAGCGGCGCATCAATATCTTCTCCAACTTCTGCTTCTTGTCCAGTACAGTATAGTTCATCATCATCACACTTTTCCCAAAGTCCTTTTTCGATTAAGGCAGAATATTCATATGATCCCACTTTAGCAATAGAACAGTCAACATCATCATCACATTCAACCCATGATCCGTTTTCTTTTACATGAGAATATTCATAATGATTATCATTAGATCCCACTTGAGCAATAAAACAGTCATCATCATCATCATGAAATTCATCCCAAAGTCCTTCTTTTTCATGATTATCATATGATCCCTCTGGAACTCTAGAACTAGCATCATCACAGTTTCCCCCCCAGAGTCCTTCTTCTGCAGCAGAATGTTCATGACCATCAGAATATTGTTCAGAGTCACTGAACTCATCTTCTTTGACAAGAAGACCGGGATTTTCCGGAAAATCGCGCAAAGCATAAACCTTTTGCAACTTGTGGGTCTTCGGCTCAGAGGAAGAAAGATCAAGATTCTCTCGCGTCCGTTTCACGCCACAAATTCCATCCATTGTATAACCCCCTTCAATCATACACGAATAAATCATCATGGGATTATGAATATTTAATATATACTCCGTCTATTATTTTGACGGTATACGATTACTAATTCAGGGGAGTTCAGATTTGTAAATTGAGATTTCGGAGTGAATCTCAATTGTTCGGGAAAAAACGAGGATAAGTTTGTACCAGAAAAAAACAGAACCAGCGATGACCTACAAGTCTAGAGTAGAAGGCAGTTTTATACACGCGGTGACGCCGACATCCCTAAATGTGCGTGGCCGCCAAGATAGGATTTTTTAGTTTCCAAATTAAATGAGTGTGTTTCCAACAAATGAAAACGTCGTACATTCTTTTCTTATTGGCACGAACTCTTATTTGGAAATACCGGTTTTTTCAAGTATTAGGATTACCTTATTAATATTATGTCGATCTAATCTACTCTATTATGATTTCATTTAAAAAGATATACTACATCCGTCTCAATCAAGGATTTCTATTACAAAATGACACGATTATAAAAAATATATTTAAAATATAATTTTATTAATAAAATAAGAAAATGTTATACGAAAAGTAACTTTAATCTTACTTATTTTGATTCTTATATAATTTATCGCTTAAAATAAAAAATTATGTCATTGGTGAAAAAGTTGACTAATATTACGTACATTTTATAAGTACTCCGAATAAAACATGGATCACCAAATAGGATCATAATTAAGAGTATTATCTGATTTATTCTTAAACTAGAGTCTAAAAAAAGCCTAAAGTCTTTTATCTAATTTACTAGATTCTTTACCCGTGCGTTGCACGGGATGCACATGTTATACGTGATAGATTATGTATCTAGAGAGATAAAGTGATATGTATAAAATGAATTTCTAACCCTTTACATGGCTCCCATAGAGAGTATTTATAGGAGAAAAGTGGGCCGGGCTTCCAGGCTTGGGCCTGAAAGGCCCAGTTACAATAACAGGCCAATAAATGACTAATAAGTGGTATTTAATCTATTGTAATGGATATACATGAATAAATACAGTGTATAATGATGTAAAATGATATCTGCTGAGTGTACGTGGGCCGCTGTCCAGCCCAATAGTCGTGAGACCCGGGGGCCCGAGTCTATATACTCTATCAATACGTTTAGATGACAGTGGGAATCTAACGAATAGTTTGACCAACTCGAATTTACATCTGTTAAAAATTTGGGATGGATTTTTCAGAACACAAAGTTCGACAAAGTTGGGATCACTTCATACTAACAAAAATACTTGTCATTAGATATATAAATATTTTAATTTGTTACCTATTTTTGTTTATAGAATATAATTAATTAGTTACAAAGGATTCAAGTAATTGAGAAACACTGAAAATTTTGTAAACATCCAATAAGCAAAACATTAATTGATAGTATAGCTTTAAGAATCAAAATTTTTACATTATCAAACACTCAATATTACATAGTAATATGTAAGGAGTATTACATTTTCATAATATTAGTAGAAAAAGTGACTTTTTAAAGGTGTATGCTTATAATTGAAAGCATTCCAATCAAAATATCGTAAACGTTCTAATATGTGTTAAATGAAATCATGCCAATTATATATTACTATTATTATATTATTATTTTGAATTGAAAATTTATTCCAATTACTCCATAATAGATAGTATATTACTTTTAGTACTACTATTATCATTTCTAATTATTGATGTACCTCTTATTGTTTAATGAGTATGAAATCGTTAAATGTCTTATTGGAGGTAAACGCAAGCTACACCTTGTTATTTTATATTATTATAGAAGACTATTGTTATTAATAATATAACTATTATCAGTACCTATAAGATGTCATTGAAATTTTCTTATGTACTGCAAGACAACAATAATGATGTTTTTAATTGGACTAAAGTTTTATGATCAGGTCCGTTTAAGTTTGATCTGATAGACTAATCTGATCTGGTCCAATAAGTGTCGAGTGTATGTATATTTTACTTATCTATTCTGATCTGATCAAGTCTAATGTATTTAAGTTTGATGTGATTTGGTCTAGTTTCTTTTAATCTGGTCTGGTGTAGCTTATAATTGAAAACATTCAAATCAAAATATTGTAAATGTTCTAATATGTTTTTGTGTTAACTGAAATCCCGTCAATTATGCATCATATTATTACATTATTATCATTACTATTATTATTAATAATATTATTATCATTATTATTATTTTGAAGTGAAAATATTCCAATTACTCCATAGTATATTACTATTTACTACGCCTATTATTATTATTACTAATTGCAAATTATTAATATGACTCTTATTGTTGAAGAGGTATAGAACATTAATTGTCTAATTGGAGGGAAAAGCAAGTGCTAGACCTTGTTATTTTATATTATTATAGAAGATAGATTATAGATACGGTCTAAATTTAGGGGTGAGCAAATAACCGCCAAAACCGAACCGACCGCAAACCGATGATCGAACCGACCGAAAAAGTCGGTTATCGGTCGGTTATCGGTTGGAAGTGTTGGAAATATTCGGTTATTCGGTTTTTCGGTTATTATGCGGTTTCATTTATCGGTTTATCGGTTACCGACCGATAACCGTTCAAAATATATAAACTACAGTAAATAAATAATATATACTCTGCATTCAGCCCATACCCAATCTTTACATGGTTTACTAAAGATTTAGCCCATACCCAATTAGCCCATAGTCAAATACGTAAAGTAAAGCTACTAAACTAGAACCCTAAGTAAAGCTAGAATAACTAATCGAACCCTCTACAATCTGCATTCAGAACAATCAAAACTCAAAACCCCCTCAGCCGCCATCACCTAATTCATCTTCGATCTCTTGATTCTCTTCTATACGATATGGATTAACTTCAAATCTTTAACCACCACCTATCAAGTCTTCCCGTTCGCTCACTAGCTTCTTCAAGGACACGAGGTTTCATCAATACTTAATTTGTTCGTGCTCCTAGAATCGGCGCCTTGACCAACAATAGCTACGGTGCGAACGAATCAACATTTCAACAAAGGTGTGTCTTATTCTGCCAAATCTCATTGTAAATTTGTATTTATGCCCTTTTTTCATTTAAATTTATTGATGATTTATTCTGTTTTTTTTTTCTAACTACTAACTAGAACATTAAAGTTTAATAAATTTGATAAGAACTCCTAAAGTTTGAGGCTATTAGGACATCCGAACATTTCTATTTATTTTGATAACTAATGTGAATTATTAGTTATTTAAGATAGTAATTATGCAACTATGTTATCATGGGTTATATACTTATAAATTGTGGATGAAATTATAAAGTTATACAGTTCTGGAATGGAGTAGTTAGTAGTGAGTAGTAATTCGTTATAGAACTATTAGTAATATATTCTGTAAATATAACTATATCACTATTTTATCATTTGTAGATGGAATCAACAGGCTCAATGGAGTTTGTGCCAATGGATGAGGAACCACCAAGTCAAAATGAGCAAACACAAGGAGTAGGAGCTGCTTCTACAGATGCGACAAACTCAACCGCTAAAAAAGTAACGCCAAAGAAACGAAAAGCAACACGAGTCAAGTCTAAGGTATGGAATCACTTTGACAAATTCACAAGTGACGAGGGCCATAAAAAAGCTAGATGTACTCATTGTTCAAAAGAGCTATTTGCTGACTCTAAAGGAAATGGAACAAGTTCCTTGGCAGCTCACATAAGAAGTTGTGTAGGACTTAAGTCTGACCCCTCTCAAACAGAATTAGTTGTCCCACAAGTGAATGGTGAGGGTTCTTTGAGTTATGGTAAATATGATGAAACTAAGATTAGAAGGGCTATGTCAGAAATGTTCATTATCGATGAGTTATCGTTTAAGTTTGTCGAAGCAAGGGGGTTTAGAAGATTGATGCATGCTGCTTGTCCTAGGTTTCGTGTTCCATCGCGTTGGACTATTGCTAGGGACTGTTTCAATATTTATTTAGAGGAGAAAAAAAAACTGTCCAAATTACTCCAGACCACTTGTCATAGAGTTTCACTTACCACTGACACATGGACTTCTTTGCAAAAAATAAATTATATGTGTCTCACTCTTCACTACATTGATAGTGACTGGAAATTTCATAAGAGAATAATTAATTTTTGTCCAATATCCAGTCATAAGGGTGAAGATATTGGTAAGGCTGTTGAGAAATGTTTGCGTGATTGGGGAATAGATAATGTTTTCACAATTACTGTGGATAATGCGAGCTCAAATGATGTTGCCATTGGCTACTTGAGAAACAAGTTTAACAATTCAGGTAGGCCAATCTTGGATGGAAAGTTTCTTCACATGAGGTGTGTAGCTCACATAGTTAATTTAGCTGTCAAAGATGGATTGAAAAGTCTAGATGAATCGGTTTCTCGTGTTAGAGGGGCAGTGAGGTATGTGAGGCAGTCACCTGCAAGGCTAGAAAAGTTTAAAGAGTGTGTTGTTTTAGAGAAGATAGAGTCTAAGGCACTGTTATGCCTAGATGTTTGCACTAGGTGGAACTCTACATATCTAATGTTGAATGCAGCACAGAAACTTGAGAGGGCCTTTGATAGTTTTGAGGATTTTGATCCCCATTACAATCATGATCTTAGTAATAGTGAAGGCATTCCCGACCATGATGACTGGGAAAATGTTAGAAGGTTATCAAAGTTTTTACACCAGTTTTATGATCTTACCGTGAAAGTTTCTGGATCTTTGTTTGTCACCTCAAATTGTTATTTTACTGAAATATGTGAAGTTTATTCTACCGTCTGTGGATGGGTTAAGAGCTCTGATAAAAAATTCAGCTTAATGGCTGGACAAATGAAGGAAAAATTTGACAAGTATTGGGGTGATGTTGAGAAAATGAATATGTTGTTGTATGTTGCAACTGTGCTTGATCCTAGGAGTAAGTAGGTATATGCAGAGTTTTGTTTTAAAAGGATGTATACATCAATTTTCAAATACATCCTTTTAAAACAAAACTCTGCATATACCTACTTACGCCTAGGATCAAGCACAGTTGCAACACACAACAACATATTCATTTTCTCAACATCACCCCAATACTTGTCAAATTTTTCCTTCATTTGTCCAGCCATTAAGCTGAATTTTTTATCAGAGCTCTTAACCCATCCACAGACGGTAGAATAAACTTCACATATTTCAGTAAAATAACAATTTGAGGTGACAAACAAAGATCCAGAAACTTTCACGGTAAGATCATAAAACTGGTGTAAAAACTTTGATAACCTTCTAACATTTTCCCAGTCATCATGGTCGGGAATGCCTTCACTATTACTAAGATC